CAGAGGCCAAATTTATAGTTTTTAGTATTTTTGTCTGTCTGTCTCTCTTTTTGTTATCGCATCACGGAAAAACCACTGGAGGGATTTTGATGTTTGGTATGGTGATAGCTGGTTATCCGGGTCAACATATAGGCTACTTTTTACCGCGGGAAAATATCTCATTTCTGAGAAAAAATACAAAAACTGCAATGTAAGAGTATACTAATATGTAAAACTTGTAATAAAAATACACTTAGAGACAAACAGATTCTACTGTATTGTATTATAGTCTAAAATCCAAATTAAACGTTCAAGATGAGCGATCAATTTTCATATCGATTCTTTCTAAACGGTAGCGGTAACACAGGAGTAGCATGGAACTGTTAGGTTATTTTTGATTCCACACAATTTAAATAATAGATTAAACAATTACTAGAATGTAGTTTCTCTTAGAGCGGTATCGTAGAAACGGAGCGAGTTTCTCTTCATATACCACCGGAAACATTATGCTTTTAATGAACCCTAATTGGACGTTTATTTTTCATTTCATCGTACTACTTTATGATATTTCTGTCGCGTAACGGTAATCGATGCCTATACTTTTAATATACAAATGCTCGATATTCGATATCGAGAGCTGTTTACTTTACCAGGTCTGGTAAAATGATTTTTTTAGATAGAAAATTTTGTATTTTATTGAAAAGAAATTTAAAAATTTGTATTTATTCAAAAGTAACCATTTTATTTTAAAACAATGAAGTAGGTATATTAAACGTTGGTATTTTTTTTTGATAGACAGGCATTTAATTGCCGATTTATAATCGATTTTTTATAATATTTATAATTGATGTTTAAAAGAAAAACATTCCCATAAACTATTCACATTGAGTTTATACGTTAGTGACTTCAGTAAAGTAATGTACTATTCTTAGTAACTCGCCGTGATCGACTGTCGTAACTAGTTTCGTTTCGAATCCTGTTTTAATTTGCGAGGCTGAGTCCAATGATATCAATTTTAGGACAATCGATGCACAATAAATGGAAATTTTTTATTTTATTATCTTTATTACTAATCGATTGATCTACTGTGTTTATTTGTACAAAATTTCTTGATTCGTAAATCTAATTCAGAAAGAAGTAATAATAAATGAATTTCGACAATAACCTTATTTTATAACGTTTATTATAGATTTCTCAGAGACGAGATATTTTCCATCCTATATGTTGACCCGGATAACCAGCTGTCATCATACCAAATTTCATCAAAATCTGTCCAGTGGTTTTCTCGTGATGCGTTCACAGACAGACAGACGAAAATTCTAAAAACTATAAATTCGGCCTCTATGTCGATAATAATGACTATTTCAATAAAAATTTTCAAAAAATATTTAGTGCATGCATCGACTCTGTTAGATTTTTATTAGTATATATATAGATATTGAAATGTGTTAATTTAACAATATTAGTGATATTTGTTATTGATATAATTTTTAGATAAATCAAATGTTTATGAACTATATTATAGTACTTATAGTTATTGTATAGTCAGTCATCCATATACTTACAGTGTACGAAAATGCATAAAAAATCTATATAATATTATTGTTATCAAGATAATAAGAAGAAGATATTTGAAAACTAATCAATAATAACTCCTGAAAAACTAAAAACAAAAGTATCCAAAAAAAGGTTTTTTTTTTAAATATACATATTGTACATCTAAAAATCATGTTACCTCTGATAAAATAGTAAATAACAGGCGGAATTCTAAAAACTTATGTGATGAGCTCAAATTAATAGCGACCAGTACGAACGACTGCGCAATAAAGTCGGAATGGAATAAATTACTCGATCTCGTGTGATTGCGATATACTGAATCGTAAAAATCTGAGTAGTTTAGTAATTAAATAATGTAGAGGATGACACGTTGTTTTGCATTGTATGGAGCCGGATGTTGTATTTTGACTTTTATATATATATATATATATATATATATATATAATTGATATATTATATATATTGATATATTATATATATTGATATATATATATATATATATATATACAAATAAATAAAGTATTTATGGTACTTATAAGAAAAAAATACAATTTATAAAATTTTTGTCCCTCTGTCTGTTTGTCCTGGTTAATCTCCGAAACGGTCGGACCGATTTTGACGGGATTTTGACTGGCAGATAGTTGATGTCATAAGGAGTAACTTAGGCTACTATTGTTTTAGAAAAAGAATTAGGGCTCAGCACAAAAAAATGAAAACCCATGGAATTGTGAACAAAATCAGTGTACCTTAGGGACGCAATCGGGCGAAGCGGGGGTAGGTCCATAGCTTATGAATATATTTTTGTTGTAAAATATAGTGTTAGAAGTGTGGGCGGGCCGCTAGTCTTATATACCACAGATACGACTAGTAATTAATAAGCAATTTAGATAGAAGTATGAATTTATATATATTTTAGATCAAGGCGAGACCAGGATGGGTTTCTAGTATATTTAAAGTATTTTTTTTATTAAGTATAATTTATTAAACGGTAAAAAATAACTATAGAAAGTATACGAATATGATCAATTATTAATAATAAAAAATTGAAAATGTTATTTTCTTTTAAATAAATTTATCTTTTCGGATTTTGTCGCGGATCATGGTCACGGGAGAGACTGGAGTCTCACCCGTGCCCATGATTGCTGTAAAGCATTCGAAACGTCGGGAAACAAAAATACAAATAAATCCGCGACAAAATCCGAAAAGATAGTTTTATTTAAAATGTCAAATATTCGCGTAAATCTAAGAAAGTATAATTTTATTTTCTATATATTTATTTTATGTAAACTGGGCTGCAATTTAAGTATTTAATTGATAGATAGAGAATTTTAAACGTGCATTCATTTTTGATGACACGTTTGGTTCAGCTTGTAGCGACCCTACTTGCTGTGCCAGCGGTCGCGGATTCTAGTGCCGCTGAGGGCACATTTATGTGATGCGCACGAATGTTTGTACTCCGGTCATGGGTGCTTATATTTATAATATGTATGTATTTAAAGTTATAAATGTGTAGTGGATCAACTATCCGGTATCCATAACATAAGCTTCGTAGCTTACTGTGGATCTAGATAGTGCTGTGTGTTAATATCCAATATTCATTATATTTATTCATTATTCAGTTACAATATTATATATGATTAAGTAAAAAAGGTAATATATCGTAGCGCTTAATAAATCATTATCAGTAATTACAATAATTATAATGTAAAATATTTTTTCTACATAAGAGCAAAATATACTATATTATATTGTTAAATTGTAGTAAAAGTACGTATAGACGAACAGAGAACCTCTTCGTTTTTGGAAGTCGGTTAAAAGCATGATTGCTACGGACTACGCCGCTGTTATTCTTTGCACATTAGTTTTCAGTCACATGCTAATATTCTTCTTTTTTTTTTTTAAATGAGTTCTTTTTTTAAACTTTTCTGCGAAATGTGTATGCTAAAATATATTTAAAAAACAGACTTTATTCAAGTAATATAACGTAACGAATGCACAAAGCCCTAAATCCTGAATTAGAAAACGTGTTTCAGGTGCTTTCCATATCAGACGTATTAAGTTATAATAATGTAAGTTAATGTAAACAAAAAAAAAACAATTACTAGAAAAAAGGAAAAAAAATGTGTGGGTGGCTGTTTATGGGGTATGTTATGAAATTTGTGTGTATTATATTACTATTCCAAATTATATATTTACTTTTAAACCAAGTATATAAGATAAGATATATATAAAATATCAATCATATCGTAATGACATTTTGCTATCATAAAGTGAATCTTACCAATAGTACAGTTAGGTTGGCACGCGACCCTTCGGGGAAGGGTACGTGAAATATGGCATCATTAGTCTCTGAGACAGTGACTAACAGTGCTCGATCCAATGGTGGCCGATGGTGGAGTAATAGTATCTAAATATTCAAATGTTTACCATTAAAGACACTTAACTTATATTTAAATTAAAATATATACTTTAAATAATTGTAGGCGTATATGAATGTTAATGTCCTAATATATTTATTTATTTATACTACTGTTCGCTCATTTAGATTATCATTATTATTAAAGATTTGAGGAAATATATATGAATAGAATTTCCCACTCTATACATATTAAAAAAATTGTTTTCAATTATTTCATTGATAACACTAAAACTCGTCAATAGCTAAAAAAAAAGGAAAATCGGTCAACAATCACAGAAGAAAAAGGCACTGAACTATTTTGTCTTTGCCTATTTATAATAGAATCAATATAAGAACGTTTTACTGTAAAGTTGATATTTAAATATTTTTAAATAAGTAGCAATTATTATTGTTTATCGAACTTAATACAAAGTATTTAATATATTATGTTCGGAATAGTTTTTATGTTACGTTGATGTTGAGTCTTTAATTGAGCAATATTTAATTCAAAATAATAATAATGTCATTTTCCCGGCCGATTTCGGAAACGGCCTACGGCGGTTAATCTCATTGAGTCTAGCCATCTGCGCAGGAGATTTTATAGTGCGGCGCGTGTGAGAGAGAGCGCAAACACAACGTGCACTCTCTATTCCTGTCACTCTCATACTCCGGTGTGATGACGATTCGACTTTCGCGGTGAGAAATCATGCGCAGGACCGACGGCTTTAAATGCTCTCCGAGGCACGGGAGTGAAACACCGCCAATTCCCAACCTCGGGCTGTTATTGAGAATTTCTTGACAGAAATAGCTAAAGTTGGACCGACTCAGGACTTGAACACATGACTTCCGGATCTGAGGCCGTACCTACATGCTAGCCTACACTACTGAGGCAGTTGCAATTGAAAAAACAAACTGTCTATTTCTAATGATACAAATTCAATTCGCTCATCTGTTATAGAGAGAAGAAGCAATAATCACACCCACTGCTTCATTCACAAACTATTGGAGATTATCATTATATTATATTATCGTTTGAAGAGTAAACCTTATGTGATGTGTAACCTATATGTATGTCAGGGTCTCAAACAAACGGACAGATAATGATTATAAATTTGGGCTAAGCACGAGGTCGTGGATACGATTCCATTACCAAACAACCTTATTGAGGTTTGGTTTACTAGGTGAGTGCACAACTCACTAACTCATTTTTGAATTTCTAAATTTAATATTAGTGTAATAATCTAAACTATGCATATATTAATATTATTATTTCTAAATAAGCTTTTGAAGTTTTTAAAGGAAATTTTAAATGCTCGTATTACTTAGGCAGGGACTGGGATAATATCATCTAACCTTCTTTATTACTGAAAGTGTTTTCTTGTGCGTGAAAATTCTTCTAAAACCAGATGCTGACCAATTAACACTAAATCATAGACACTATCAAATAGCTCATTTAAGTCACATCTTCGCCCAGAATGGTTTGTGTAAATGATTAATGGCATATTAATTATTACAAAGACTGTAAACAAGGAGACTTAGCCGAAAAAGTAAATAAGAGAATGTTGCATGGAAAAATATATAGAATTATTATAAACTTCACTCGTACGTAAGAAATTAACAAACTAAAAATGTAAACAAATCTAGCATTTTTTTTTTCTATAGTGGCTTAAACTCGTAGTTGCCTTAACAGACACAATCCATTCTGCCAGTGTCACGTTTTGTGAGGAAGACACGAATGAGATTGAGCGGTAATTTTGAAATTTAGTAGCTTTAATGTGGAATTAAAACTATAAATGAATGATCGGTCTACAGGAGCAAAGTTGATTGAAAATGAAAATATATAAATAATGAGAACTATATTATAATTTAATTTTATTATGAATTAAAACAAATCTAGGATTATTATTCTGTCTTTTTTTTTAATACGACGGAGTTAGTTTTTAAGCTTTAATTATTACATTATTATTTTATGAAGTTTTTTATCCCTATAGACAGAAAGCGCATATTGTCGTCTCATTTGATTTTTCATTTTCAGGTCATATTGTTGTGGTACTACCAAAATCCATGTTTTTGTCCCTAGTAGGGAATGAACCTGCGACTTTTGGCTTAGAGGGTAGTGTGGTGATGTTACTGTTCGGTTTTATTTTTCAATTCATTCACCTGTAGAGAGAACTCTACATTTTTTTGTCTATGTCAAGTTCTTAAATGGGTTTAAATTATTTTTTTATTTTTAATGGATTTATAAAGGGATAATATATTTTCAAGAAAATTATTTTAAGGTACTTATATACAAAATATAAAATATTTTTGTTTATATGTATGTTAGTTACATAGATTTATATATTTACATTTTGCGCTCAATTTACAAACTTTTACTTTTAGCACTCACTTACCAGTCTACAGATATCTCTCAATTTAGTTTAGGAGATATTTCTGATTACAAAACAAAATACTTAACCGGAAAATCTTTTAAACATATCAATATTATGAACTAAATATATAAATCTTAACTAAAATTAACTCTTACGGTGGACTTTTTATGAAAATTGGTCAATAAAAAGATTAATATAATATCATTCACATTAATTAATCCCGATGAATCAATAAAACATTAATATCGTGATAAATAATAGGCGTCCATCAGGTTTCATTAACGCGGGGGCGCCACCGACGGCCGGCGTCCAGGCGCCATTGCCGATCAATACCCCCCGAGAGTCCCCGAAGAGTTACGAGCACGCTCGAATACAACCGATCTCCCCCGATCGTTTCCCGCACATGACAAATGTCAGTGATATGGCCTGCAGTTTTCAGGGCCCGTGAAAAATCCCAAAAGAGTGCATTTTACACCATTTAGTGCAAAACTGTGATAAGTGACCGTTGTTTATGTTGTTTTCCAACTAAAATTCATTGTTTAGTGATTAGTGTAAGTATTTTCTAATGATATCGCTTTTGTTTATATATCCCCGTATTTAACATACATATATGTGAGTAAATATATATATTGCACTTACTCATTTAGAAGCTTTATACTATAAGTATTTATTATTAACATTAAATGGGCGGTTCAAGAGAAAAATCAATGTTTTTGATGCAACATGGATACAAATTAATTAGTTGATAAACCTTTAAATAACCCTCGTATATATGACTTTTCATGTACAGCAATTATGAATTAAGCTTATCTTTATAATATTGCAATGATATTAGTAATTCTTTACACTTTTAATAGAAAAAGATATATTTTATATTATTCAAGTAAACTTTGTGGCTATTGCGCATGCGCGGGGGCCCAGGTGCTTTGCATCATCCGTGTTTGACAATAATTATTATGGTTTTCTTTAAAATGCTAACTATGGTTAATTTGTATAAAAACAACCCTCTTACTAATTTGTTAATTATTATAAAATATGTTAATTCAAATTCTCATTTAGGAATTAGCATAAAAAGCTGGAAATACCTATTGGGTCGTATTATTTAATCGCAACTAATTAATACTAGCATATGATTTGTAATATTTATATATTAATAAAATCAAATGAGCGTATCACATCTTTTGTTTTTTAAGCATTCTATTAGTAACATGTCGCATAAAAGAAAAATATATAACAAGTCTCTGCAGGTCTTTCGACCTTGACCGTTGTGCAGTAGCGGGTGCAGTAGTTTTCCACCAGCATAATTTGATCTACCAAAACGTTATCAAATTTCCCGTTTGCACTTTTAAATTTGATAGACGGGGAGGCGGGGGAGGTCTTTGTTATTGGTTGTCAAAGTGACAGCTGACAGGAGGGAGCGAGATGAACTGTTTTATGGCTGATATGATAGAAGTTTTGTTTTATGTTTATTCCTTTGTTTTTTATAATTTATTTAAGTAATAATACTTTAAGTTTGAAATCAAACAGTGAAATATTTTGTTCTATCTCTATACATAGTAACTTTACCGATATTTGGATAATAAATAAATCGCATAAAAAGAAAAATTCTAAAAATATGTTTTGAAATTAACATTCTTAAGAATTGATGTACTTCTTACCAATTATATTCTCTATCATAAATAACTGTTTCATTGGTTATTCCATTAAAATAAAAAGACAAGGCACACTGCCGTACTGCCATTTGTTTCACCTTCGACCCGGTGATAATTTGTCATCTTGACCGCATTGTTAGCAGTATTATGTTATTTATATACACATGAAAAAGTATTAGAAAAGTTGATATTTGACTTATGATAATAAAACTGTGTTCAAATTATATACATCTACTGGTTTTTAGTATTATCAGTACGGTAATTTTTCTCAATTTTTTCCTTAGAATTTTACTAGATTTTTTTTAATTCGAACTTTCGTTGGCAGATAGAGATTTGGACGGCTTAGTATTTTTAAGCAGAACTTTCACTTGTGGATCCGATTGGATGTGATATTATAGTCAACTTATAAAGGGAAAAGATAGGACCTCCCATGGGACTTCCTCTTGCATATTGCATACATGGGATAGGTGCTACTTGCTATCAGCTTATAAGATTTTCTGACGCGGGACGTAATGAGGGTTTTTGAAAATTGCGATACGAGTGAAGGTCGCTTATTACAAATCATACAATAATACCTTGTACATTAATATTTTAACATAAAATAATCGTTTTAAACGTCGAAACGTCGGGAGCAAAAAATCATAATAATGCCGCGAAAAAATCCGAAAAGATAGTTTTATTTAAAATGTCAAATTTTCGTGTAAATCTAAAAAAGTATTATAAAATAATTGTTGGTTAACATTAAACAAGTCGAATAGGTTTACATGACCTGACATAAATCCCGCTTTCACATACCCACTGCGAAGAAAGTAAGTCTTAGAATAAATAGATATAAACGTAAAAATAATTTATATTATAGGTAATTTTACGGGCCGAGCATCGAACCGGGTGCAAAGGTTAACGGCTGTTATATTTGAAAGTTGTTTCTCCGCATGCTTACTTGTGCATGTCAACGCGATCTCGGGTCAGATTTTGGTGACGAAAAACTGTTGTTCATGTTCCCTATTTAAATTACTAATGAATGTGCTGTGTGTCGCCTACTGCTGAGTATTTTAATGATATTTAATTTTATAGACCTACGATTAAAGGTCAAATGAATTCTTTAAATAAAACTTAAAAATAATTAGGCTAACACATAAATATTAAAAATATTTTAAGAGATTTAAAAAATATTTTATGACTTTTTAATGAGTAGCCTTTTTTATATATGTATGATAATATATGTATTTATATATTAGATATTTTTATATGTTGCGGTATATTAAAATTTTTAAGCTAAATCAGAGATAAGCTATTTTATTTTACTGTGATATACCACATTTCTTAAGAATATGTGACGAAAAGTTACTTTATGAGCGATTTATATTTGTCTAGAATGAGAATCGAAGCTTTTTCGACTAATTATTAAAGATAACCTTTTTGTTTAATAATTCATGAGAAAATATTATATTTCTCATAAAATTGATGTCAAGTTATTTTCCAATGCATTATAATAATTGTATGGCAATATTTTAGCGCGCTGGAGCGACATCGGGCATGCGCCGCGTAGCATGAGCGGTGCGCGCGCGCACGAGCCCCGCGACCCGCCGCGCCACCACCGCTCCCACCCGCATCCACACCAGGTATTATAATATATAACGTACAATACCATGCTCAAATATAGTTTATTATATATTGCTCTATTCTAAAGCTCAGAGAAGCTTAAACGATTTTAAGATAATGTGTATAATTAAATTATAAATAAATGTCATTTTCGTGGAAAGAAGTGGAGTAGCGGTTATTTTTTTTATTACTATACCAGTTTATTAAAATAATGATGAGATAGTTAAATATAATGTTTAAATTAACGTTAGACTTTCAAAAATTATAATATTTTTACAAACTTAACCATTTAAACTTAAAAAGTAGGTGGTATAGCGAAAATATCAACTGTGTTGTCATAAATGTCATTTTCAGCTCGCTAACGTCTATTTCCGTTGGGCGAAATGAAACTTACATAATTTTGTTGTTGACTTAACTATGACATGCATATTGTATACTGTGGGAATATTGAAGCTTATTTATACGTCATTAAATTAGAGCTCGTATCGAGTTTCTAAAGCAATCTTTACTTAGCAGGCTTTAGGTGCGGGAAATAGTTATAATTATTATATAGGATTTGTTTCCTGTCTTTATTACTACGGCATAGTAGTTAATGTTTCTCACGAGCTCTTCTCAGCGGAACTGCCTTCTTCCGGTGGTAGATTCCTCACGGGCTTATATAGGTACTGACATTTAATTAAAATTTAAAAACTGTAAAGAGTGACGATTCAATAGTACTTGTAAAAGTCTATTTGAATAAACTATATTTTGATTTGATTTGAACTCTACTAAGGTATTCTGTGTTTTCTCACTCGTACATTTAATAATGCACAATGCACACTAAACGGCCAACCATAGACATAGACATAGTCGCTGCGACCATGGTTTCGGTCACTGTTATGGTACGTGTGGTGGTGGTGGGATCTTAAGGTTTCAAAGTTAAACAACTATCATACGTCTAAACTATGGATTTATTGGACAATATATTTGCCTTGAGCGTATTCAGAACGAATGGTACACGGTATACGCATAAGTGCTACACTTGTCAGTATAAAATGAAATATTTTGATATTTCTTTATAAAACATGTAAAGAACAAGCTGCCAAAGCTAAGTAAGGACACGCAAGCATACAGGGATATGATTTCATCACAATCCGTTAACCGACGAGCGTGCCATATTCCACTAATTGCAAAATATAAGCAAATCTATGTTCGTAGCAATAATTAGAGTTTGTTGATGCGAGAACAACAAATCTTAAATTACATAAACGGTCATTTTGCGCCACCCACACTAGTTATTCTGTTTTAAGGAGTCGCCGCGATTTTTTTTTAATTTTAATGTGTTAGTTTTAGACTGTTCTATGTAAATTTTAGGTATGCGAAAGCTTTAAAAAATGTACAGCAAAAGCAATCAAATTAAAAGATGGGTACACGAAATTACATGACACTTTTTTATCGATTTTATTTTTTTAGCAAGCATATAAGTTATTGGGAAGAAAATTAATAACATAAGAATGTCTATAAAAAACAAGGAAACGGACAATATATAGATTAAAATATTATTTACCCTATATACTTTTATTAAAAAAAATAAAATAAATAAAGCTCAAAATTTTTACAAATGATTTGCCTCATTAAAAGCCACGATCGTTTCTGTGAAAATATTTAAAATCTAAAACATCGCCTTAACATAACGTATATAAAAATTATGTTGCGGAGCAATTATATCCTCTGATTTTGCAAAATTTAAACAATTACACGTGCAATTATACCGGCCCCCACCACCGGTGCCTACATTTGGTCATCAAATATATTGAACCTTCACTATATTTACGGTTAAAATTTTATTTGGTCTTAACACTTAGATGTTCTTCTAAATATAATCAGAATATAATATATTCCTTCCACTTTGCTTGTAAAATCAATTCGAATTAACTCTACATTTGTACACCGCAAGGAAACTGGCTTTCAAATGAAAAAAACCGCATCGAAATCGGTCCATCCTTTTGAGATCTACGTGCCGCAGACAGACACATACACACAGACAGACCGACATCGACGTCAAACTTATAACACCCCTCTTTTTGTTTCGGGGGTTAAAAATTGAGAATAGTAGCATAAACAGCATATAACGCTACTGTTTTTAACTTTGACATTTATTTTGGCAGAGTCCGTCTATGTACTCGTAATTCTTAGTCTATAAAAAAACGCTTATGTCTTTAAAAGAAAGTTTTTTTGTTTGTTTGTACTGGATAAGCTCCGACACTACTGAATCGATTTAGATGAGAATTTGGTAAGAACATAGTTTAAGACCCTGGGAAGGATATAGGATAGTTTTCATCCCGGAAACCATTCCTTAAGGAGATGAAAGTTTGTATAGCGAAGCAATCTAGGGACGAACCCGAGCGAAGCGAGGTTTTTATAGTCTTTTGAAACTTAGACCATCACATGAATATATAATCTAATATATAAAATTTTCATTTTAAATAAAACTATCTTTTCAGATTTTGTCGCGGATTTATTTGCATTTTTGTTTCCCGACGTTTCGAATGCAAATAAATCCGCGACAAAATCCGAAAAGATAGTTTTATTTAAAATGTCAAGTATTCGCGTAAATCTAAGAAAGTATTATAAAATTTTCATGTCACAATGTTAGTTACCGTACTCCTCCGAAACGGCTTTACCGATTTTTACCAAATTTTATATGCGTATTCAGTAGGTCTGAGAATCGGCTACTATCTATTTTCCATACCCCTAAGTGATAAGGGTGGCCCACATTAGGGACGAACCCGAGCGAAGCGAGGGTGAGTCGCTAGTATTTTTATAATAAAACAAAAGCCCCAATAGGTTTTTATGAAAAGTATAGACACATGAATGCAGGTAATTATAATAAATTGTAGTAGTGTGAACCATGAAATATTACTACAGATAAAATTTTTATTAGTAACGTCAGTAGGCTTATCTATTGGTATGCGAAGCGCATAATTTACATTGGCAGTTAAAGTCAGATTTCTTACATATGTGAATTGAGAAAGTTTGTTGTTTTTTTTTACATGCACATGCCATAATAAAACTATGACTTTTAAGAAATCAAAAACCTTAGACTTTCCCGCGACCAACTTTGCTGGAAAACAAAATCGTGGGGAACAAAAAAATCTAAATAAAACTGCAAAAAGTATCGGAAATAATAGATCAACATAAATTAAGTAAGTTAAAATGTCTAAAGGAAACGCTACGAAGTTTTCGATAATCATATGGCGTAGTGAGCTGGGCTTAGTTCTGGCATGTTTTGAAGAGACTCGGTCCATAATAAATAAGCTATCAAAAAGAATTAATTGATGCTCTTACGTTAGATTAATCGTGGGACGCTTTACTATAACAATATATAGGAAATATTATTGTATTGTATTATTCTATTTATTGAAATTAAACCTATACTATATATAAAGAGGCTGAGTTTATTTTTTTATTTGTGTTTGTTTGTTTGTTTGTTTGTTTGTTTGTTTGTTTGTTTGAACGCGCTAATCTCAGGAACTACTAATTCGATGAAAAAAATATTTTTGCAGTAGATAGCCCGTTTATTGAAGAAAGCTACTATCATATATTATATAGTCTATCTGTTCCATACTAACCGTTAAAACGTACCTAGCGGCAAACCCGAGCGAAGCGAGGGTGAGTCGCTAGTTGATAGATAAGTAAAGAGTACCAGCACACTGATTCACATTCGGCTAGTTTTTTTAATATTTTTTTTTAACTTTAATGTATTTATGTATTTTGAGAGATACATAATAACGTATATATATATATATATATATATATATATATATATATATATATATATATATATATATATATATATATATATAGAATAAAGAATATTATGTTGTATATATATTAGCAATGTAATTAAATACAAACAGTTTTTAGTAATAAAGGTATTCTAACTTTAATATCACTTAAAACTAATTTATTCTATCTACCTTTAAAGTTAGTCCAAACTCTAAAGTATAAAGTGATCAAACTTGAGTATCCTTTAATTAGAAAATCGATAAAAATCGATTCACAATTAGTGAATATATCGCGTTACATACATATACAAAAATACAGCGGAATTTTACCTTTTTGAAGGCGGTAAAAACAGGTTTTATGTATAAAGGATTCACATTACTTTTTTGTACTAATCTATACTAATATTATAAAGAGGTAAAGTTTGTGAGATTGTGACGTTGTAGGAGGTAATCTCTGGATCTACTGAACCGATTTAGATGAAATTTGGTAAGAAGATATTTTGAGACCCTGGGAAGGACATAGGATACTTTTTATCCCGGAAATCATCCCTTAAGGGGGTGAAAATGGAGTCGCTAGTGTAATATAACTTAATGTTGCTAGATATACGTAAAATTAATACGGATAACAAAAATTAAAGTCCGTTAAACGTAGCACAAAAGGATCGAGAATGTTTTGAATAATTAACTAATCTAAAAATAAAATATTTCTTTGTTTTCAACTGGATTTTTTAATAATAAATATAAATATTTTTCTATCGTTTTATAAAGGAACTTATGTGTTAAATAACGGTTTCCTCGTGTTTGTGAAATATATCCCAAAAAATAAACAAAAAATAGTTCTAATGTGCCGTGACTTTATGAATGGAGTTATGAATCGACTTGATTGAGTCATCTCAGATGTTTATATCGTGTCGATTTGGCTTCGGCGATTGACCTTTTACTGGAGGCGCCTATATCTGGTCTATTTTATACATCGTTCCCCTATTAATATACGGAAATATCAATCTAATAATATATAAAAATCTCGTGTCACGGTGTTTGTGGTCGCACTCCTCCGAAATGGCTCGACCGATTCGATCGAAATCCGATCCGATCGATCGAAAAAATTATTAAATTTTTTTTTATATTTGGTAGGTATGAGAATAGGTCGTAAAGTTTTTTTAAGCGTCCTGTCAGCACGCT